CCCCAAAACCCCAAAACCCCAAAACCCCACATGAATGACTGAGTAACTTCTAGAAATTATTAAATTAAGGAATATATATTTGTCCCAGTATTATTTCTCAACTAGTTCAAGTGAGCGATCAATCTAGCTCATCTAGATTTGTATAGTATTAGATTCTACCATTGTTATCTCCTTCATCCTCACTTGAAGAATTTCTATCATATCCACCTGCATTTTGGCTTTGCTGGCCATTTCTATTGTTTTAACTATTTAATCTAGAATCCTCAAGCTCTTCTAGTGGGGGTAGTGGTTCATCGTCGTCATCTTCTTGTTGAGCAGCTGCTTAGGATTAACTTGAGTTCTTATTCTCACTTCTGTCATTAAAACTATTGCTAAAGTTACCACCACCGTGTAATCTGTACTTTCTGATTTCAATGTCAGTCCATCGTAGTTAAAGAGACTTAGCATCAATCAAAAACCATTTATCAGCGTTTGGATCTGGATTCACAAGTCTCGAAAACTCCTTTGCTGCATGACTGAAATCAAAGAAATACTTTATCAAAATGTCTTCAAGCTGATCCTCATACTCTGAGGTCCACTTGAATTATATTAGCTGCTTATTGTTGCGATAATAAGCTTCAGCATCACTCTCTGATTCTGAAGTAGCTACTGCACCTGCAGAATTCTGTTTTTCAGTTTGCTTAACTCCTGGTATGGTTGATTAGGCCTTTTCTCTTGGATTTTCTCTTCTATAGTACTGCTCATCCTCCAAAGCTTTGATCTAATTTTCTCTTTCTCTCTCTTTTTAGATTCTCTCTTACTCCTTCTTATACTCTTTTTCTCTCTTCTTAGTCTCTTCTTCCTCTCTTTTCTAAGCCATTACTTCTTCATAGTATGTCTTGCTTTGTACATTAGGTGCTTTAGCCTTGCCTACTGATGGCGCTGAGGATGGATCCTTGTCTTCAACTAACTTGTAAAATTCACTCTTCAAGTCATCTTCAATTTTTCTAATCTTGAGGAGTGTATACCCCTTTTCTGGGTGATCATCAGGCATGCTTTTGTATGTGGCCTTTAAATCCTCTCTCTTCTAAATCATTTCTTGCTTCTCATCTCTTAATTCATCTAGCATCTTTTTCATGGTTTCTTTTCTGCGCTTTTTTCCTTCTTCAGTCAATTCTCTGCCTCTTGCAGTAATTGCTTTCATTTCTGCTTTCTTTTTCTAGTGATAAGTCTAACGAGCTTCCAATTCAGCTGCGGCTCCTCCAGCTGCCCAAGCATCTGCAGCAAGACGTTCTATCTCAAAAATTGGTCTATCGTCCAAGTAATAGAGGTTTTTCATCCCCACTGTCAATCTCTTACGGTATGTTGAGATTCTTCTTACACAAGGATTACCTTTAAGATAGAGACAGAGTAAATTTTGAACGTCTGAGAAGAATGGAACAATATCTTCTGCACAATCTATTTGATTATTAGAAAGATCTAATGATGTGAGAGATGGGCAAGTCTTTATCTCTTCAAATCCTTCTAATTCAGATATTATGTTATGAGATACATCTAATGACTTCAGCTCTACCAGTTTAGAGATACCCTCTATTTTCTTAATTCTATTGTGAGACAGATTCAAAGTGACTAGGTTCACGAGTTCATCTAATCCCTCCATTTTATCAATAGAATTTTAATGCAAATATCTAGAAGACAAAATTGTCATAATATATAAAATCATACAGCATTCTGAGTTGTTTCATATGTCCTAGCCCTTGTATCTTTGTGATTCCATTGCATTCAAGCCAGATAGATTTGAGATTAGTGTACTTTTCCAAATTCTCAATTTTTTGAAATCCTAATGTTAAAATTATGGTCTGTGTAATAGTACCTTTATAATGCAGGTAAAGTGTATCATTCAGGTGTGGAGTTACATATTGCATATTCTCTTCGCACAAATCTTTGAGGAATTTTTCTGTTATGTAATTATTTCCTTAAGCGTCCCTTTCAATGACGGCTTTCTTTTGCTTCAACATTTCGATCTCTTTATTGTATAGATATAACTGATTAATCAAAATTTATAAATACTGCCAAAATTGAAATTCAAATATTTATTTTATAAGTTAATTCTATTGGCTTACGGGGTTTTGGGGTTTTGGGG